TGTGTAAACTACCCTGGTGCTACAAATACTTTCAAATAATATCGGCTGTGAAGAACACTTAAGATATAAAGTTATAAACTATGCAGACTATTTAAGGTAAAGCCTTAAAAAGTTGTCATTTTTTAATGGATTGTTGTATGTAGGGCCTGATATGTAAGACAAAATAAGCAAATTAAACAGAATAATAACAATCACACAGAAGGTGCCTTTCATTAGGAATGATTTTTCCTTCTTTCATTTTCCATGTTTTCTGATTCATTTTTATACCCCTTGTTACAGACTGAGTACCCCTCGTCTGAAATACTAAGGACCAGAGTGTTTTAGGTCTGAGGGTTTTGGAAATATGGAGTTCCTTCACGGTCTTTAGTGGGTGAGACTCCTTAATTGGTAGGTTCAAATCAAAATACTCCCCAACCTCAAGAAGTTTCAGACTGCTCAAACTGTAACCGGGTGTCTCAGATGTCTGAATATCTCTTTACCTGCTAAAAGGAGGTGCCGGAATCTTTTTTCAAAACAGCAGTAACAACGAGTTGGTGGAGATTGTTTATAAAATGCTTGCATAGTCAGCAGATATTTTCGTTCCCTAAAAGGCCTGTGATACACTTCACAATGGCTGTGAAGGCCATTAAAATCTTTGCATTGAGATCTGCTGTGAAAAATTCTCCTTCCACCGTCTCCTGAGCACCACAGCCACACTGCTGTGTTCCGAGGGCTGATCTGGCAAGCAGACTGCTCTAATTGCCACACTCTGGAAAGTTCCTTGAAGCGTATTATTCTAACTTCTAAGGTAACTTTGTTAATTCTGGACATCTTCGGTTTTTTCCAATAATAGAGCTCAATTCAAACAATGGTATTTTTCATCTAAACATTTCGCACATTTCTAGATGCTTGCATTTTGAGGTCTGCCATATGAATCCGAGGCTTTAGCTTCTCCTGAGAGATTGTTAGAAATGTTATAGTCCCAGGTCCACCCTGACATACTGAATCTTATTCACCTACTTAATGAGCCCCTCAGATGGCTTGTGTGAATGTTAGAACCAGAGAATCCCTGCTCTTGACTATAGTTCAACCTATCCATCATTAGGGTTTGTCTACAGAAGAGAATTTTCCACAGTTAGAAGGATGCTATTACATAATTCTTTGTTGTCCTTGCTTTGTTTGGGGCAGATAAAGAATAATGGATAAGTATAGCTAAATATAAGTAGATAGATATAAATAAAGATAAACAGGCAAGTTGATTCTGAATTTTGTGTCTTGTTTGGCTTTTCTGCATCTGTCTGTAACTTAAGGACAGTGCCCTAGGCAGGAGGATGGATGGCATAAAGAAATCCTGTGCCCATTAAATAAATCACAAAGTCAATAAAGAAATGTGTGGTACAACTAAAGAACTCTTGAGAAATAACTTAAAGTCAACCTAAATATGATGATCTAATTTTAGAACAATAGGAAAGTTTCCAGTCTCAGAGATGACAAAGAAGGTGACAGCTAGAAGCTGTTTTATTTAAACCTAGGAATTCTCAAACACCTTTCTAACAGAATCTAACAGACTAATGTAACTATAAATGAATATTCAAATGGCTACAAACGAATAGCCCCATAACACCCGAAAGCAAAATATTCCTTCTTCCTTTGTCCCAAACTCCACATGCTTGTTTCACAGAAGAATTCAACCATATTTATGACCCCTGAGCAAACAGAAGGGAAGGAACACTCTATAGATGTAAAACATTTCTTCCCAGGGGTTCAAACTGCTTTCTAGACATTATCTCATTAATTGCTCCTTTAAATCTTTCTCATTGATTTTTATATTTCTTGAAACAACAAATTCACTGTTTTTTGCATATGAAGGAAAAGAGTTCACATCAATGAGAAAGTAAGGTCTTAAATATCTTCTAAAACAGGCATCATAATTTAACTGATAATGAGTTACACAATAGGCTTAAAAGGGGCCTGAACAGCATTATTTATTTATGAACCCATGCAAAAGTTCCAGAATATCTTGGGAATATTGCATCAACAATGTAAATATTTGAGTAATGACCTCTCCTATATCAGTCAGAAAAAAATGTTTCTAAAGTGTAGAGATGGGTAAGTCTCCCCATTTGGAAATTAACATAATGCCAGTGTATATTATTAGACAATCTGTGGGATCAGTGATGCAGAGATGATAGTGACCAATGAAGGACTGCTAACGTCAAGGTCATCCCAAATCAGTTATAGTCAGAAGTGACGCTATTTAATAGCTTTCAATCTCTAGCAAGTCACTGAACTCTTTGGGTGGGTACTGATTTTACCATTCATAGCCATATTCCATTAGTTATTTTGAACTTTAGACTAATTAACTCACATCAAGCTCTGATGTCCCCTGCACATGGTAGACATTGCATATCGGTTGCAACTAGGATCTTCAGGTGTAGAGACAGAAAGAGGTTTTCTTTCTTATTAATAAAAAATAATAAAAGTATTATACTAAAATAAGTAAATTGGAGAACCAAAAGTATAGTATGAATATTTTATGCATTAAAACCATATTTATATGAATAAATGCAAAGATGCAATGAGAAATGATGAACCTTTCTTTGTAGTAACTTGAGCGGGGAGTGGAGTAGGTTAAGAATCAGGAGGCAGGCCAGGCAGTGGTAACATAGGCCTTTGATCCCAACTCTCAGAAAGCAGAGGCAGGCGAATGTCTGTGAGTCTGAGGCCAGCCTGGTCTGTAGAGTGAGTTCCAGAATATCCAGAGGCACATGGAGAATCCCTGACTCAAAAAACAAACAAACAAAAAGGAGACATGTGTGAAGAGAGTTTTCACTCTTTCTATATACCACTTTCTACACGTTTCAATTTTTACAGTGATGTTCCCATGTTTTATTTATAATTAAAATGAAAACAGTATTTACTTAATGTTGAGGAACAGGGAGATAGCTTGGGTAATAGGTCACTTCTTTTTCCAACTGAGAAACACTGAGTCAATACATACAAAGAGCTGTCCTTGCTCAGTACAGGCATACATATTGCCCTTTTGATCTTCAGAGGCACAGCACACATGACACCACTCTTTAGCTTGGTCACTGGCTAGCTCTGACCTTAGATCTAAATCTGACCTTTCTGTCTTGTTTCAGTAGCTGGTCCTCATCAGTGATGGGCAGACAACATTTTCAGTCCTCCACGATGGTCATGTCGACTACAGAAGGAGGGATTGGTATATACTAATAGAAACTAGAAAAGATTCTCAGGCAGAAGGAACTGGGCAATTTTGAGCAACTGTTCTCTGGACATCTTATTGTTGTCAATCCACTGATGTCCACTGCTGGGAGTACACAGTCAAGATATGCAAAAGTCATAGAATCAGAGTGAGTGGTCATCACAGGCAATATTCAAGTGATCACCATGTACCATGCACATAGGTGATGGAAACCTTGGTTGTTAACTGTGTTGTAGACTGAGATGAAAAGTTTAAGGCATCTTTCAAGGTCACACAGCCCAAACAGTGAGGGACTCCAACCCTAAAACTCTATTCTGTTCATTGATATGCTGCTTCAGAAAGTACAGGGCTTTTAGTGCAGATGCTGATGAGTCGAGGCAATAATTTCCCATTGCAGAGCTTTATATTGAACAATATACATTCACACACTAAGCATTTCTTTCACAGTTTCCTCAAATGAAACATTAATTATGATTCCCCTTCCTTTTCAGATTAGAAAGTTGGGATAAGAGAAGCAAATATTAGCAAGGCAAAGACACAAAGCCATCTAGTTTAACAATTAGAATCTAGCAGTATTTTGTTGATTATTAAGTTATATCCTGTCTGGAGGAATGTATACACACACTGAATTTTTTGGTTTTTTTATTTGTTAGTTTGTCTCTGAAGATGCAGACATTAAAGCAAAAATTTAGAGCACCACAAGATATTTTAATGTCCAAATAACAAATATATGTAAAGGTTTAATCTGTGGGAAGAAAAGATGTTCAAGGAAACTAGGAAAATAAGAATAAGCTGAAAACCACAATGAGTTATTACTTCACACACATTAGAAGGTTACAATATAAACTTGAAATTAATGAGTGTTGGCAAGGTTGCAGAGACTTTGTAAACCATTGTACTTTTCATAGGGACTTCACTTTTGTTTTCCAGCTGCCCAGACACAAATAATCACACAGAAACTGTATTAATTATAACACTGTTTAGCCAATGACACAGGCATATTCCTAGCTAGCTCTTACATCTTAAATTAATCCATTTCTATTCATTTGTCTATAGCCATGACACCATGGCTTACTGGTAATGTTCTATCATCTTTCTCCTTCAGCAACTGCATGACATCTCCTTGACTCCACCTACTCTCTCTCTCTTTATCTCTGTTCAGATTTCTCACCTGGCTTTACTGTGCTAAGCCATTGGCCAAAACAGCTTTATTCACCAACCAATAATGAAACACATATTCAGAAGGACATCCCACATCATCTCCTTTTCTATTTAATTAAAAAGGAAGGTTTTAACTTTAATATAGTAAAATTACATAAACAAAACAGTTATCATGCAAGAATTATAGTTATAATATTTAGTCCAAATAAAGGAAAAGATTCTATCATCTATCCTATCTTTGTGAATCTAAAATTTTATATTTAATTTATCTTTTATCATAACTAAGAAAAACTATAATTATAAATATTCAATCTTCAACTCTATCAAAGACCCCAGAAGGATTTAATATTACCTAAGTAAGGAGGAAGTATATTGTAAGCAACTACCAAAGTTCTAGAAATGATAGAGATATCTCATTGCTTGGACAGTCACCCAAAGTTCTTTTGTAACATTGGGGAATCCATCTTCAGCCTATAGGCCTATAATAACTGGCAAAGTTTTCAGTGAAGTAGGAAATTTGAAGATCTGTTCTGCCTTGTAATGGCAAACTTCATCAGTTGCTTTCTTCTTTGTACTGCAGAATATCTGGCAGTTTCTTCTGTGAAACAGGAATACTGAAAAAACATCCTATCTTTTGGAAAGTTTAGCAGTCACTTTTCTGTGGGTTCTGCATGTCCAGTTCACACAGCATATCATCAAGCAGTCCAGGCAAGAGCAGTTTTTAGCCTAAATGGCTCTTCTTGTTACATTGAAGGCAAATTCCATAATGAGCTTTTTCAATGTCCATCAATCTCTCTGGTGGTGCCAGAAGCAGACATGTCTCACTGTTGAGAAATGTCTAAGTTAGTAAAACATTTTAAACACCATATTCTATAGGTCTTTGAAAAGTTTGAAGAATACCTATCCATTTGAAATATATCTCTGTATATCTAGAAAAGCTAACATGACTAAAAGTTTAATTATTATAGATGAGTCACTATTAGTCTGTAATTTTTAATTATACATTCCATGTTTAATGAGCTATATAAACATAATATCTTAAACAAGAATAGAAATATATATATGTAAATATATATATATATATATATATATATATAACAAAATTTACCTTAAATTTGTATCAATAAATTAAAGTCCATAGCAATGTAAAGTATTCATTTCTATATCATCGTACACTCTTGGTTTTTATTGTTACAGTTGTTGTGGAAGACAATAAACTAGTTCCTGCGAAAAAATAAAATATAACCACCATCTTGTAATAGGAGGAGTGGGCCTGCTTTTTATCCGAGCCGCCCAGCTAGCTTACACCCAAAATAACCACACAGAAATTGTATTAATTAAATCATGGCCTGGCCCATTAGCTCTAGCCTCTTATTGGCTAATTCTCACATTTTGATTAACCCATTTCTATTAAATCTGTTTATCACCATATGACTGTGGCTTACTGGCAAGATTCTAACCTATCTGTCTCAGGCCAGAGACTCATGGCATCTGCTTGTCTCTGCTTTCTTCCTCCCAGAATTCTGTTCTGTCTTCCCCATCTACTTGAGTTCTGCCCTATCAACTAGGCCAAGGCAGTTTTTTATTCAACCAATGAAAGCAACACATAAACAGAAGAACCTCTTAGACCACCATACTAGCTAGTTCTTTCACTTTTGTGTATGAATCAGTTTTACATCTATGCCAAAATATCTGAGAAATCAACTTAAAGAAAGAAATAATTACTTGGCCCTCAGGCCAAAGCTTGGCCTTGCTTGGCCAGTTCTAATGTGTAGAGACACAGGCATGAGCCTGGTGGTGGCGAAAGTGTGGTGGGGCCGAGTTTCTCACCTCATGGTATCTAAGAAGCAGAGAGTAAATAGTAAGAAGGGTCTGGGAACATGACATGCCCAAAGTATGTCCCCCTCTGTTCTACCTCCTCTAATGACATTCCATCTCCTAATTTCTACTATCTCCCAATAAGGCCTTCAAAACTAAAAAAAAAAAAAAAAATGGAGTTAAAATATTACTATCATTTCTTCCTTCACTTCTGTCTTGGGTTCCTATTGCTGTGAAGATACAGCATGACCACAGCTGCTCTTATAAATGAAAATACTTAACAGGTTGGCTTACAATTTCAGAGGCATAGTTTATTATCAGCATGGCAGGACATTCAGGTATACATGTACCGGTGAAAGTCCTCAGAGTTCTATATCTGGATCCAGAGGCAGCATGAAAAGATAGCCACACTGGGCATGACTTGAACATCTGAGACCTGAAATCCCACCCCCAGTGACACACTTCAACAAGGCTATACCTACTCCAAAAGGGACATACCTCCTTGTAGGTCAAGAATTTAAACACATGAGTGTATGGAGGCCATACCTATTCAAACCACCACACCTTTCCTTCTCCTACCCCTTTTCATGTACCACCTTGCTTTCAAATTCATGACCTCTTTTTCTTTAATTTTGTTGCATATACCTAAATATATTAATATAGCCTGCACAGTTTATATAATATTATTTATGTGTCAATGTTTTCAATGATGGTCACTTGGTATTTGATAACCAATTGGTGTGCTCCTCCCTGGGAAACACTATTTCCCCTGCTCTCAGCATTCCTTAGTTGCCTATGGTTCTTTGTCTAGGGTTGGGCCCTATGAAATTACCCCATTCCATATTAACATAATTATTAAGGTCATTTTTGTTTGGGTTTTATTTAGGCAGTCATGGTGGTGAAAATTCGTGGACATAGCTTCTCTGACATTTCTAGAAGTCACAATCTCACAGAAAATGTTCTGTTCCTCTGAATTTTAAAATTCTTCTGCTCCTTTTCTGTTATGATTCTTGAGCCTTAAGTGCAGTTGTTGTATTGTAGCTGTATCAGTTGAGAACATGATCACTTGTTCTCAGCATTTTGTTAGTTGTGGTTTCTTATAACGGTCTACAATGCAAATATATAGTTCTTTTTTGAGAGCTGAGACCTATACTTATCTGTAGGTATAATGATAAATAATCAGAGTATAGTTAGGAATCATTCTGGCTTAATAAAGTGGAAGTTGTAAATTCTCATTCAAGATCTATGATGACACTAGCCATGGATGTTTGGCTAGGTTTCTGGTACCAGGTCTGGCTTCATCTTGGTACACATACCTTGAGTCCAATTAGAGACCTGTTGGTTACTGCCAAGGTGTGTGTGTCATTCTGCTTGTTAGTGTAGTCCATAAGCATCAGAGCTGGGTAGGATGACTGATTGCTTCTTCCCTTGGGAACTTGCATGGCACCTTCCAGTACTATGAGAGCTAGCCCTCAGGGAGGAAATTTTTACATCAGATCCAGCTCAGCTCCTCCACGTCCTGTGCATGAAGAATGTGGTGTCTTTGATAATAGGGACTTATCTGCAGCCTCTTGAACAATAGTTCTCAATCTGTGGGCTGTTACCCTCTTTGGGAGAGGTCATAAAGCTTTTCAGAAAGGTCACATATCAGATACCCTGAATATCAGACATATATATTATGATTCATAACAGTAGCAAAATTACAGTTATTAAGTACCAATGAAAATAATTTTATGGTTGGGAGTCAGCACAACATGAGGAACTGTATGAAAGGTTCATAGCTTCAGAAAGGCTGAGAACAACTGATCTTGGAGGAAGCCAAGGGCAGCTGCAATAACCTGTAATGTTTTGCAAATTTCTTGAAATTTTAATATCTAATCAACCCAATGATCTTGTCAGAGTCCTCATAATCTGCTCACTATTTTGTTTTAGTTCTTTTTTTGAGACAGAGTTTCACTGTGTAGATTTGGTGTCTGTCCTCGAACTAGCTTTTGTAGACCAGGCTTGCCCCAGACTCACAGAGATCTGCTTGCCTCTGTCTCCTGAATGCTGGGATTAAAGGCATGTGCCATCACCGCCCAGCTTTTTTTTTCCCACTCACTTCTTAATAGTGTCAAGCCTTAAACACATGAACATTTTGAGGCGTTTCATGTCCAAACTATAGCAGAATAATATCTAAAAGGAATTGAAATCTTAAAGAGGGATTCATGCTTCGCTGTTCATAGTAACACTACTTGTCTGTCACACATGTAGCAGCCACCCCAGAGTATATTAATGAGTGTGTGTTATTTTCCTCATCACTGAAATAAAAATGCAAGACAAAAAGTAACTGAAGGAAGTGCATATTTTGAGTTACAGCTTGAGCAGATACTGTCCATTACAGAGGAAGAAGTATGGGGGCAGGAGTGAGCAGCAGCTGGTCAAAAAGCAGGGAAGGTTACATGTTAGGCTCTTCTTTCTCCTATTATTGTCTGAAACTTTCTTGCTATCTCAGTTGGTCTGAGCCTCTTTGAGGCAGGTGGGTTTACCTGAGAGTCTTTCTGGCTCTCAGATTGTCTGAGAGTAACTCTCAGTAGTCCTTACTGTTTAGATGTTCTTGGGGAGAGGGACCTAGTTAATCTGATTAGTTTCAGGAACTTCCTTGGGCAATTTTGAGGTATTTGCTTCCTGTCTTACTGAGCTTCCCTGCAGGATGGAACATTTCAGATCCCCTTAGAATATCCTGCTGTTTCATCTTTCTGTTCAGATCCTATGTCTTAAAAGGTTTCCTTCCAAGACTGAAGATTTTAGTCTCAGAGGAAACTGCTATACAATACATGGGAAAGTGGTCCTCTCTTCTAGCACATGTGCTTTTCCTATGTTTGCATTGGGATTGAAAGGCGTAGTGCCCTAAGGTAGTCATAGAGAGACTCTGCCAACATCAACAGTGTGAAGGATTTTCTCTGTGTGTCTCTGTTATAGCAGATCTTCTAGCTTAGGTAGCATTTGAGTCTAGAAAGAAGAAGAAAGGAAACATATATATACTGGGGGGGGAGTCTACAAAACCTACTTCACTTTGCCATTAGGTAGTGGACTCTCTGGTTCCCTTTTGGTTGTCTGTGGCAGTCAGACTGGGATCAGAAGCTTCCCAAAGCAGATGAAAGCTGAGGCTACGTGGGAATAGGTTTGTTCCATTTCTCCCCCATCCCTCAAAATAGGATTCCAACAAAGGAAGGAGCTAGTGTTTCCAATAGCATGCATCTCTGTGCCAAAGACGTGCATCTCTGTGCCTTTGTCCCATGTTCCAGCCTTAGTGGCTCTTATTCAACATATTTTTCAGGACAAGGGAGATGGTTCAGTCAGTAAATACTTGACCTTATTGGGTTTGAAACCACAGAATCCACATAAGAAGCTCCTCATGGTGGCACACACTTATAATCCCAGAGCTGGAAGGCAGAGATATGAGGATCTCTGGGACTCAGCTAGCCTAAGTGAATTGGTGAGTCCCAGGCAGGTGAGAAACCCTGTCTCAAAAAATAAGGTGGAAAACGATTAGAGATGATACTCAAGGTTGACCAAGTCTTGCTTCCTCATGCATGAGCGTGCGCGTGTGTGTGCGCCCGTGCACGCGTGCGCGCGCGCACACACACACACACACACACACACATACACACACACACTACAATAACTGTATGTATATATACATAGACAAAAAGAAGCAGACATCACTCAAATCTGACTCTACAAAGCCCTCAGCGTTCTTCTGTGGTTGGTGTGTTTTCCCTGTCAGCAGTGTGCTCAAGCTCACTCGTGATTTACAAGGAGAGATGCTTCCTACCAGCTCCCCAGTCAGCCTCACAAGGTGGATTTCACAAACCTGTCTGCCGGCAGTGCCGCCTGCCCCAGGTTAGAGTGAAGAAATAACACTTTGATGCATGTTTGCTGTGGTTTATTGATCCTATTAACATTAACTCTCAGGAAAATCAATGCTTCAGTCTTGCAGGAGATGTATAAATAAAGTGATAAAAATAAATCAAGGTCAATTGTTTCCTGATGGAAAAAAATGAGAGGTAAATTATGACAGCCTGTGATCAAGAGCAGGGGGATATTTCTAAGGTTGTGGAACATTTAGGAGTGTGTACCAGGGCTCTGTTTAGCCATTCGATGGTGGTGCTATTTGGCCTACTTGAAGGACATTCTTTTCCCAAGTGTCTGGCTGGTGCTGACCCTTGGCTGTCCTGCTTTGCTTTAGCTGGAACCCACATTGTTGGTTCAGTTTTCCTACCCATGTCACCTTATTGAATAGCTAAAATTTTGTGCCTAACCACCTGCTGATAAAAGAGTACTAACCACTGTGTTATAGATTATGTTTCTATTGCTGTGACAAAATGCTATGACTAAGGCTACTTATAAAGGGTATTTCATTTGGGGCTCATGGTAAAAGAGGGTTTGAGTCCACGCCCATCATGGTGGGAAGCACGGCAGAAGTCAGGGAGGCATGGAATTACAGCAGTAACTGAGGGCTTACATCTTGATCCACAAGCACAGGCAGGGAGAGCTAACAGAATGGCATGGGTGTTTGAAAACTTAAAGCCTTTCCCCCAGTGACGTGCCTTTTCCAACAAGGCCACGCCTCCTAATCCTTCCCAAACAGATTCATCAACTCAAGAACAAGTATTCAAACCTATGCCTATGGGACTATTCTCATTTATCATACATTATAAGGATAGTAATACTAAACTATTGCTGCAAGGTCCTGTACGCCCATTCACTGATGTAGGTATGATTTTCTGAATACCTGTGCTGTCATGAGTAATGCTAATCTGTGGTGGTACCTACAGTACAGTAGTTGCCAAGGCAGACACATTCCCTGACTCCACAGAACTTACCAGTTGGGTGAATGCACAATCAGCAAGCAGTCAAGTGTAATATGATGTCAAAAATGATTAATGCAGAGAAAAGAATATGGCAGAGGGAAAGGCTAGCCAGGGACTATAGTACCAGAGTACAGGGGCACTCAGGAAGAACTGACCCATGTCCAAGGTAGAAAGACCCACTTGGGTACATTCCCAGTACTGAGCACATGAAGAATGCTAGAGATTTTGGGGAAAAATCTGACGTCTGAAAACAGGAGTCTGATCCTGCTGGACTTGTGATGAGTTCTGTGATTTGGGGAAGTCAAGCATCCTATCTGTGTTTTGACAGCTCTAGGGGAAGGAAACACCACTGTGCACTTTTCAAGATGATTTGGAGGCCTAGATGAGAGTTAAAAGTTTCAAACACAGGAACTAAAACACAGGAAGCTCTCAGGAAATGTTTGTTCCCTTCCGCATTGCCAGGGCTGCTGGGAGATCGCATGGCAGATATTCAAGCCAGCATATGTCCACAAAGGGATGCCATTTACATATTTTCAGTCAGTCAGAATGTGAGCGAGCACTTTCTGTGTGCTAAATACACCCAGGAGAGCTCGGTAGACACCGCAAGCATTGTATCTGCTCTTGTACAGTTAGTTACTAGAATGTAGATTGTTGCACAGGACTGTAAGCCTACAAATCCCAGGTTCTTCCATTTGGTAGCTATTTCAAATTGGCAAATTATTTATATCTTTATTTCTCATTTGTAAAATGGGGGTAACAGTAGCAATTAGTTGGGTCCTGGTAATTCAATGAGTTACTACTGAGAAATATCTAGAATTGGGTATTATATATGACAAGTATTTGGAAAGTATTTCAAGACAGCAATTAAACACAATATTATGTGAGATGTGCTTAAAGAAGATGCAGGCTAAGCCCCCAGCTTGTGCTGATGCCCTGAAATGTGCTACAACACTGTCTCCTTCAAGCATCCACAGGTCTTTTTGTAGATAAAGAGGCTGAGATGAGGCAGCATCAGACCCTTGCCCAGACACATTCACTCCTCCCAGGCTCCCTTTGGATGCCCCAGTGAAAACACTAGAGATGATCAAGATGGTGTCCCCCTCCAAGGAGGCCTTGAAGTAGAGAGGAAGAAAGACACACACTGACAGGCTGAGCACCTTACCTAAGATCTCAGAAGCAACAAATCAAATCGCAAGATTTCCAACCAGGGCACCTGTGCTGGGCTGGGGCTAGAATCAAATTTAGCAAGCACTGATTAAATGCTTCCCCCAAAAAAATCTCCCTGGTAAGCCCAGTAGGATAGTGACACATACATTTTGTCAAGGGCATGGCCTGAACATCCTCTAAAGCCGATAAACTGGGGAGAAGGTATTCAAGTAAGCTTATTGTCTGAGATTAGCTCGATTTGCAGGGAGAGTTGTGCACGGAGACAGTGGCTCCCGCACACTGTTTGTCATTTTCTTTACAGTAGAAATGCCTCACATAACCAAGGTACATTCATCAGAATGAAGATATGCTGCTATATTACTCTTAACTGGCCTCCAGGCTTCATTCAGAGTCCACCAGCTTTACCATGGGTGCCTTTTATTTGTCCTGGATCCCAGAAGAACTTTAGGGAATCCCCTCAGAGGAATTTTGACCTCCCTGTGTCTACAAATCCTGACTTCTGTTCATATCGTACAAAGATACTATGTATCCTTCAGTTAGTCTCCCTGGTCTATTTAAGAAGATGGGGCTGGGGCCACTGGGCTTTAAGTAATGCTGTCCTTGCATAGAAGTGTTTCCTAGAACAAATAAAAAAGAACTGATCCCATAAAATAATCTCAGAATTTCTTTTAAAAGAGTCAAAATTGTAATGGAAATATTGGCCAAAATGTCCTCTTTTTTGATTTATTGGACTTTTATTACAAAGACAAAATCTATTTGTAATTTATTGATTTGTGGATTCCCAAGATGTAGATAGCTTTTCAAACATACAAACATAATTTTAGCGTGTATGTGTGTGTGTGTGTGTGTGTGTGTGTGTGTGTGAAGTACAGTTTGAAGCCAACAGATGACATCAGAAGCTGAATTTGCAGACACTTACTGAACTTGAACTTGGGGCCTCTGAAAGAACAGTAAGTGCTCAAAACCATTGAGTTACCTCTCAAACCCTCTGGCTCTTGATTTTAACATAAAATCATCTTGAAATCATCTCATCATTCCAGTGTGTCTGTGTGTGTGTGTGTGTGTGTGTGTGTGTGTGTGTGTGTGTGTGTGTG